CCAAGGTCTTTTTCCTAATGCAATGTTTTGTTATTTTATACATACACATTTATCCCAAATCAGAGTTGTCAGATGCCCGAATTTAAATGATTTTTGCTGATGTTACGTGATGGTGATGAACTTGTACATTTTATGGGTGGCACCCACATATGTTCCCTGAACTAACCTCACCTTCTCCGAGCTGTGCAAGATGTCTTGCCAGCTGCTCCAGCCAGTTTGTCATTAAAAGTGCTATGGAAGTTGGCGGAGATGTTGGGTTCAATCTGGGCTCATTTAAAACCAGTTTCTGTAAATGAAGGTCCTGCAGAGAAGTCTCAGACTCCAAGGGTATGTCATTCCCTTCCTTGCTGTTTGGTTCTTCAAGACTAAATGACACAAGGCCTGTGGTCCTGGTGACGTGTGTGACAAGAACCTTTCCTGTGAATTATGGACTTATATACCAAGTTCCTGGTATCCATTTTTTTGTTTTCTGCAGAACTGCTTCATTTTTTCCTTTTTGCCAAATATGTAGCACTGGGTGAGGTATTTCAAGCCAAAAAGTCTTTTTCTGAGCTAGAACACTCTCTGTAACATTTTCCTGTGCTCCCTTTTCCACCCGATGATTTTAAAAGTACTATTTGATTTTCAACACAAGCTTTGGTAGTCCAGAATGAATGTAAAGTTTGTGGGAGTAGGCCACAAAGCCACCAAATGTTTCTGACATTCCACTCAGGCACTGCTGTGCACACAGGCAAAAGAAAGACAACCCTCCTGTTGGCATGTTCAATCAGAAAAGATTTTGGACATAGAATATGTAATATCATGGCCAAGGTATTTCTTCACACCGTGTAGCCTGGGAATATTTTTTTCTACTTCAGGCTGAACACTTTGAAATCTCTAACCAGTTCAGTGTCCTTATTACCGCTAGACTTAGCAGCTACTACTACATCTTTCTTGTCCTCAGCAAAAAGACAGAAGCAGTTTGAAGGCACCATGCTATTCCTGTAGCTGCCTGAAGGTTGGTTATGCTGACACTGATCATTAGTGTGCTTCTAGCAAGAACTAAGCCTCCATCACCACTGAAAGAGGGTCCTAGGAGTGTTTTGTTTCAGACAAGCCATCCCCAGCCTAGTCACCAAGGCATAAATACTGCTCTTTGGTCTCTATTTCCCAGAACTTCCCTCTGCACAAGGAGACCCCCAGGAATCCTGTTAAAATGGCTCTGTAGCTGTTAGATATCAGCAGACAGATCTCATTCAGCCCTACAGTCATGGATTATACTACTGCAGATTGCAGACTGAAGACCACAGTGGTGTGTGGCAAACCAGCTTTGATACTGGTAGCGGTCTCATCATGGTAGCGTGGCAGCCCACGTGGACTCATTTCCTCCAGAAGTGGCGAAAAGAGGCCACACTGCGCTCTGAAACGCTGTGGATAAACTATGCCTGCTCCCCTCTTGAGCTGTCCTGGAGCTAGCACAGCATATCTCCATGTTGGTCTGCAGTCCGCAGAATTAGAAGCTGGAAGGGATGACTATAATAATCAAGTATGAATCTACTCTTACCTAACACTGCTGGGGTAATATGCCCGGGAAATTTTTCCAGCCTAAGGCCAAAATACATGATACTTCTCTCTCTCCTTCCCTCCTTCTTTTATGGCTTAATAGAAATTGCCTCCAGCAATTCCACATACATTAGAGAAGGAAGAAAACACAACAGGCAGTGCATTGCTTGAGCATTATGGCACTCCAGGTGTGCATGCTCAGACATGGGGAGCTGAAAAGAGGATGACAGGCATGACTGCAAAAAGTCTGCCAGAAATTACACTTCTCATGATTAGTGTGAATCCCTATTGTGAGGCAAAAATGATGCAAAACAGAGAGAGAATAGGGAGAATAGAGCTGGTTTATGCATGTATTTTTATTTGCATTTAGTGACACTGGGCTGATGTGATGGAGAAAGTTAGTGGACCAGATAATCAAAAGTCAAAGGACAAAAAAAAATCTTAATAATAATCCTAATTAATAATCCATTTATTTGGCTTGTCATGTAGCAAAATGGCAATGTAATCTGCCAGACAAATTATTCTGACTCTGAAAATGAAGTTTTGGTACTGAACCCAAGCCAAAATGAGCTCTGAGCTACACTGGTATAAATTCCAAAACACCTTTGGAGATATGAGCCCACATACTCCTGGTTTATATGAATGCAAATTTGACCTCAGGCCAAACGCCAGCTTGAATTCAACAGTTTTGAAGAGCAGCCATCCAAAGAAAATGTTGCCATTGGAATTCAAAGCAATTTAATAAAATAAGATGCTATTCACCGATCTTTTTAAATGATTTAAGGTAAAGTTGTACCACTATAGAAAGTAAGATCTGTTCTTAAGGGATGTCAGAAACCTCATCCATTGTCTCCCAACAAATGGAACAGATGGTTTCTCATTTAAAATCAGTGCTCTGATGAAGTCAATGGATAAATTCCTGTTTGCAGCAGCTGAGAGCCCAGGTAGGTTGCATATCTTGCTTGGCTGTCTTTGAACACAGATGTGATGGCGCTATGTTGGTCACCTGGATAGAGTAGTACCATTTATATTTTATATACTGGTGTGTTCATAGCATTTGAAAAGAGTGGAGAAGTTTTTTTCCCATTTACAATCTATGCAACTACTAGAAGGTCACAGACCAAATCTAGGTCCTGTTCCATTTTTCACGTTGTGCCCCTTTCAAAGGCTTCAGGTAAGAGTCAGTCTATAAAGTACTTCTGCTGGGACATGATTTTTAGTTTGGAACAAGCTGTTACACTATCACATCTTAGTTTCAGCTTATTCTTTGTGGTCATCTCAGCTGTGCTGTGCAGGGTCAGGCAACCTTTCCATTTTTTATCGACTCTCCCACTGCCCTAATGAGCAAGCCTGATGAAGGTCCCTTAACTTCCTTGCACTTGGGCTTCTTCTCTCGTCTTTCTAGAGTAAAGTGATTGTAAGATGTTTACACTGTTATTCCCTGTTGATGCATCTGTCGTTCAGCACCAGAAAATGGGATTGTGATTTAAGTTTGGACATTTAAGTATGACATTAATGGTGATAGACAGTAGCTCTCTTGTCCTGGGTATGCAACAGGGGATGGGAGCTTTGCAGTATTATTTGGGGCTGCTGAATCAGGACCTGTAATGCCACACTGAATAAATTAGCCCTTGTTACTGACCTTGATCTCTTCACAAATTCCCCTCTAACATCCATGACTATGTGTGAGAAAGTAAATGCCTTTTATCTCCTTCTTTTTTATTATTTTCACTTTAAAAGCTCACCTGATCCAGCAGCCCTCTCAATCAGCTAAAAAGCCTTCATCCTAGTAGTTCATTCTCATTTTCCCTCTCATTTTTGGAAGCTTTGTTCCTGTACTCCAAAGCTTAGAGAGCAGCAGTGCTCACCTGGGATATATTGAATGTTACAAAAAGTGCAGCTCTTAGGAGCCTGAGCAGCCAAACATCCTGGTGAGGGAAGAGGAGGAGGGACGATCTTAACTGGACTCTGGGTCCAATCTGGAAGGATTATCAGCTTCACTGAGAGTTGCGCAGAGGTGGCAAAATTCCCCCTCTGCAGGAGATTAATACATTGTTTTAAAGCTCCTTCTAAAGTGTTTTTTACGGTAGTTTGTAGGACAACAGAGCTGACCTTATTGAGGGAGGATGTTGAAGGCTGAAGGGAGCAGGTACGTCCACACTATGTAGTGAAGGAGAACTGCCTCATGTCCTCTCTCACTAACTCTAGACCTGCAAGGAGTCTTGCAGCATTAATATGGGTGAATATAGGAGGCAAGCAGGGCTGCTCATTCACCTCATTAAACGGCCAAACTGGTTTTGGTGACAGAGGTGCCTCTGAATACCGTTGCAGTGCACCACACATACACAGCAGCTCGTTGGAATAGTTTGAACTTGCGCTAACAGAAGCGCTGAAATAGAAGGAACTAGGAGGGTTTTTTATGATGTTTTTCAGAACAGGGTATAAATGAAGGACCCTTTGCTCAGGGTTGTGGTGCTGTCAGTGCTTATTTTCTCCTTGGAGACAGTAACAAAGTAGCCCCAGAAAAGCTTTTTAACTCTACGGTACTAACCTTGTTCCATGTATTTTGGTTGCTGATGCATAAAAAGTTCGGAGAATTTTTTTCTTCCTGCTACTTAATTCACAGAAAAGTACATTTGAAAGCATTTTATCAGAATAGTTTCTTTTCCTTTTAAATTATATATATGTGTATATATATTTTTTTTTCCCTGTAGTCATTTGTGGAAGGATTAAAATTCATATTGGATTCCTTGTTTTCTTGTGCATTTTGATTTGTTATGGTACTGTTATTTATCAGAAATCTCAATGCTTTTTTTGATATAAAGACTGAAAGAGATGTTTGGCATTCCTTTTTATATGAATAATGTTTATTCTTCAAATACATTAGAACAGCAAAGTAAAAATATTTTTTCTGTATAATCATTTACAATATATCTTTTCTTGTATTGCATATAAATTATAATGAGTCTGGGCCTTGAAATTAAGTTATAATTCTCACAGTTGTCGCTGTCTTCTGCATTGTCTGTTACATCTTGATGAAAAGGAATAGTAAAATCCACCAATATTAGTTTAATAGAACAGTGCAAGACCTGCATGCCCTCTGGTGGAAGCGATCCTTAACAGACTAATGTAGATCAGCTTTTGTGGCAGTGCTAAATGTCTGACCTACAGACAGACGCACTCTCCTTTGATGTACTTAGTTACTCAATTAAGTTATGTTTCTCCATAGCAGAGGTTGTTAGCTAGTAGGAAGGAAAACTCTTCCGGTGTGTTATTTTTTTCCACACTTTTCATTACAGTTTGAACTCCTTCATTTCTCTTCAACCTCTTTCTTCACTTTTTAAACTTATTACTCAACTGTAATAAAAAGAAAATGAGTTATATGTTGTCTAAAGGTATTGAACAGTGTCTCATTATTGACACAGGTTTTATATGTAGAATTTTGCTCTGCTTTTAAGGAAGTTTACAGGTCCGATACAAGCTGAGTAAGGATGGGCTCCTCATTTTCACCATTGACTCTGGAAATTTTGCCAACCGAGAGCTGCACCACGTGAAGATTAACAGAGAAGGCAGAGAGCTCATCATTCAGGTATGCCATGGCTTATGTTCAGTGTGAAAGAATCCTTCATGCCACAAACAGACCCACCGATTTCAATGCCTAATCACCAGCAGGAGGCAAAGGTTTCACATTGATTTGGTGCAACCCAAAGCTGTTTCAGCAGCAGAACAGCCCTGTAGGTTAGACCAAAGTTCCATGCAGACCCTGCTTCAGAGAGTGCCGAACCATGTTGTTTTCCTCTGAGAGATCCTTCCCTTGTCTCTGACAATCTGTGAATTAGGAAACACCTTTGGCCAGAAGCTCATCTGGACCACTGGAGTGGTTCTGGGGCTTAGGAGTATCTGTGACCTGTAGTTCCAGAGGAAGCACACAGTATGGATCATTAAAAAGCTGCCAAAGGGAGAAAAACAGCTGAGGAATGAGCACCTGGGAATGTAATTTCATTTAGGGTATGTGACCCAAGGGAGAATGTGACCCCAGCTGCCTTACCCTCCCACAGAAAAGGAAAAGCTGAGGGAAAACAGGGTGCAGCCACCATGTGGGTAACGATGCCCTGTCCCTTTGCTAGAAGCCATGCTGAATGTGACAAACTCATGAGAAACAAGAGCCCTGCTCTGCCTTGTTTCCCTGCATCATCTGTTTTTCCAAGGCAGGGAGAAGAGGACCATCTTACCGCTCCTTCTGCTTTCCTTCTGAGGCTAATTGTAGCGGTTCTTATTGCAAAGCAAATTGGCTAGATCTGGGCAGCAGTCATTTAACAGGGAAGGGTGGCAGAGTCTACAGAGAAGTCACGTGGTAAGGAATAGAATGAGACAGAAACACAGGGAGCGCCACGGGTTTTCTTTCCTCTACAGTTTCCGTGTCTGGGTGGTACAATGATAACACAGTTAGTGCGCAACTAGGGTGGGCAGACCTGATTATCTAGGAAAGAGGCTTATCCTAAAAGCCAGGGTTTCCCTCAAGTACCAGTCTCCTGTCTGCTGCACTGTCGTTTTCTTCTACGCAGAACTAATTCTTCACAATGCATTTCTAGAGAGGCCTCCTTTGACTGTGTTCTGAAGTGACTAGACGTGGATTTTGGGAAACAGGGGGATTTCAGTGTCAACCGTTTTAAGCTTTTCTGCAGGGGAATTTTCTTCAAAGCCCTTTATATGACTATTCTGGTGTACCTTTCAGCTTCTCATGCTAAAATCAAAGCACATTCACTTTGCTATCTTTAGAAACTGAATCACGCTTGGGGGCAGAATTAACTGATTTGCAGCTGAGAGCGTTCCCAGAAGTTTGCAGTACAGAGAGATCTAGGGGTGTCTACATGCTGTTGTAATGAACTAATTTTATTGACCTCTTCCAGGTTGATCAAGTTCTCAAACTCAAACACAACTTTTCTGAGATTGATTTTAAGGCCATTAAATCACTCACCTTGGGCAAGGTCACAGGTAGGTTCTACTAAAAATATTCCTGATTCATCAGTTGTTATAGTGCTGGAGTTAACCTGCGCTGTGTGTTGAATTTTTAATAGGATTGGGGTTTTGTTTAGCTGTTAGAGTTGACTTCAGCACTCCAGTACTCCTTATTTGTATGTCTCATCAATGCAAAAATTTGGCAGCTTTATTTGTTTGCACTGATAGCAATATTAACTTCTCCCATTGCTCCCTCCAGAAAAGTGATTCATGCTGCCTGTGTGGCTGCACAGGGTGGCATCTTAGCCTAATGGTATCATTTTGCTGACTACAGCTTGCTCCTCTCAAGCCATCTCTATTTCCTAATGATAAGAACAACAGCCCTGTGAGCCTTCATCCTCTCTACCCTTTTTTCACTCCCAGTCTTTTTCCATTTGAATTCTGCAAGTAGCATTTATATTACATACAGCACTGAGGCCACAATTCTGCATGCTCTGTGCATGGACCTTCTTCATCTTTACCCCTCCACAACAAAGCGGTTACAAGACCAGGAAAGCTCTGCCTGAGATTTGGAAAGTAGAACTCCTCTATTTTGTTGTGAAGTATGTTAGTTCGTATAAGAGTCTTATGTGGCCCCAGTAAGATTCTAAATAGTTGCTCGGTTACAGACATTTTAGTCCTTTGTTAGAATTGGACCTCCATATCAAGCCTGACATCTGTTTCACTATTACAATTTTATATGTTTTATTAATAGCACCCAAGGCCTGCGGGATTGGTAGATAGACAGAAACTTAAGACATCCTCCAGTGTCTACTTGTGCAATATAATTGTATATAATGACATTATCGCATTCTGCATCATGTTTTACTGGGTAGATGAAGGGCAGGAACTGACTTTCCCCTTAATTATAGATAATGTTTGTTCAGAATGCAACAGTCCTCCAAGCCTTTGTGGACAGGTTTGGGGACCTGAAACTTTTCAGCCCAAGTCAGAGCTAAGCTGAAAATCTCTTTTTGTCAACAGTCAGCTGTAGTGCTGGAAATCTAAAAGAACATTGCTCATCATGACCACTACCTAAAGCTCCAGCTATAGATACCAAGTCAATAAACCAAGGCTTTTCTAACCAGCAAGGTGGAACATAGCACAAAGGCCTTCAAACATGTAGCCAGCATGCTGACAAGGTGCTGCTCAGCCTCATGGAGAGAAACTAGTTTTAGTCTCAAAAATATGGTTAACTTTGCAAGTACAAGGTTGTTGCAAAGCCGAAAAACCCAGATGCATCTCCAAAGGTCTGGTATTCAGTTCCACTGAACACCACAAACTTGTCTCCAGACAGCTTTTAATGGAAATATCTTTGTTATTTCTTTCTTGCCCCAAAGGTTATTAGATTTTGTTTTAGTAATAATAAATAACAATAGTTCATATTCTGCAATGACCCTAAAGCCATAAACTTGGCTGTCCAGATGGTGGGAGTTCCTATTGCTGTACCAGGAATCACACAAGGCATCCCAGCAAGTCACTTTAATTCCAGCCTAATCCTAATTCTGGTTTGTTCTTTATACATTAAGTAAATTTCCTCAAAGTTTTTCTTCTATGTTAGGATTTCACTTTCCGGATTTTATCCCACAGCTGTAGCTATGCTGAGTACAGTCCTTGTGCCCTCAGAGAATCACAAATCCCCCTGAGTCTTCTCCTCTTCAGGATGAACAGTCCCAGCTCTATCAAGCCTATCCTCATGTGAAAGACGATCTAGTCCCTTAATCATCTTTGCAGCCCCTCACTGGACTCCCTCCAGTAAGCCCATGTCTTTCTTCCACTGGGGAGCCCAGCACTGGACCCAGCACTCCAGTAGAGTTACACTCATGCAGAGTATGGGAGAAGGATCACCACCTTCTGTCTACTGGCAGTGTTCTTCCCAAGGCAACCCTGGATTCCAGAATGTCATTGACTGCATTTACTATGGGGGCATATCTGACTCATGGTCAGCTACTGTCTACCAGAACACCCATGTCTGTCTTTGAAAAGCTGCTTTCCAGCTGGTTGGCCTCAACCAGTGTTAGTGGACGGGCTTATTCCTAACGCAGGTGCAGATCTTTGCATTTCCTTTGTTGAACTTCATGAAGTTCCCATTTTTCCAGTTCTCCAGCTTGTCAATGTCCCTCTGAATGATGACACAACCATGTGGTCTACTTCCAATTTTGTATCGTCTTCCCAATTTTGTATCATCTCCAAACTTACTCAGGTTACATACTGTCCCATGCTGGCAAAAAAACCTAAAAAATCTCTACTGCTACAAAGTCAAGAGTATTGCCTTGTTGTATCAAGAGGAGAGTTGGACCTTGTCATTTTAGCAATGTAGAACTTACATAAATATGTCCATTCATCTTTTATACTATTATGTTGGTAAAATGTCAGCTATACGTTCAGAAGGTGAATACTGATGACCTAAACCAATATCCTCCAAGTTCTTCCTTGTCATTGTTCATCCCCTCAGCAAAGCATAAAATTCCAGAGGCATGTGATGTTTTGAAGCAGACCTAGAATTCCTGTAGTGTTCGTTTGGATGCCACTGCGATTTAGATACCTAAAGGCATTCATTAGGAACATTTAAGTGTCCACTGAAATAGAACCGTATAAAAAAACTCTGTTCTATGTATCCAACATATCCATGACATACTCTTCTGAAAATTTGTCTCCTTTCCTGCCACACCACTGCTCATTTGCCTGCTCTAACAGTCTGATCCTGGCTGCTTAACCAGATGATTATACCACCTTCTTTCTCAGCTCCACCATTTGTTTCTCACTGGCTGAGAAATCTCAAAGAGAGCTTCCAGCAGGACATCATAAAAGCTTGAAACCTCTTCCTCACCAGATTTTCTTATGATAACCGCTTTAGCACAGCTGGAACTTTTGAAAAGTGCACTTTTATACAATGACCAGTTTTTAAATAATAGCGCTTCCCCCCTTTCCTTCCCTACCCCCAGTCCCATTACACTTCCTTTAGTCAAAAGCTACTCAAACTCTGATACTTTTTTCTGCTTTTCAAATCTGCTATATTTTCCAATGGCTGCCCTACAACCAACTCTGAATTCCAGGAAAAAACCCTCTGTTTAAGGCAAAGGAGGCTCACCTGGAATTCAAAACATAGGGACACTCCCTCTGCCACAGACTGCTTGTATGACCTTGGGCAAGCCATTTATGTGCAGATATAAAGGTAAGCAGGCATTTTATTCCCACTGGAACCAGTCTGAGCTTTACTATCTCTGTTCTCTATCAGTAAAGCATGGATAATAGAGCATCCCTACATCAGAGGGGTGCTAGGAGGATAAAAGCATTAAAGGCTGTGAGCTGTTCAGATCCACAGTAATGGGGCCATATAGCTGCCTTAGAAAGATCAATCTAAATATAAGTGTGGCTTTGAAGACAAGGGAGTAAAAAGAAGCAGCATTCAAGTAGCCAACAGACGTTTGTTGAATTCATCCTCACAGTATCCAACAGTAATAGAAAAATATTATTATCCTGTAGTTTGTTGTCATTTTTACTTCACAAATATAGAGGCAAGACACAAAAGGACCTATCCAAAGCTCATCAGTATCGGTGGGAGTTTTTCCATGGACTTTAGTGAGTACTGGATTCGGGACTCAAGTGGGTCATACAGTTTATGGCAAAGCCTCAGTGAAATCTTAACCAGAGTCCCAGTTCATTTACTTTAAGTACTCCTTGCAGAGATTATACTGCTGTATTTAACCACATAAGCTCTATGGCAATCATCTGCCCTAACTGTGAATCTGGCTCTGCTTTGAACAAGGCACTGAACTGCATGACCTTCAGAGGTGTCTTTCAACTTAAATTATTCTATAATTCTCTGATCTCAGAGACACATTTGCATAAGCTTAGGTCTTGTCTAGAAAAAGCTGCTATCCCAATGGAAAATATCATTTATTTGTTTTGGGGTTGACCTTAATGAATCTTTGAAAACTTCTTACTGTGCCCCAACGTGTCTAAATCTTTCACCATTATAGTCCCTGGAAAAATAATCAGTGATGCAGGAAGCGAATCTCATTGTCTGCATATTTGCTTCTGAGAGATTTAATATACTAGCTGTGTAGTGATACCAGAGTAAAAGGGTAGCATTGAAAGGGATTCAAGAGTATTCTGAAGAAAAAAGATTTCTTTAGCACCTATTAATGTTCCCCTAATTTATTTGTGTCTTCAAAATGATGAAGTAGCAAACCTTCCCATACTGGCAATGTAAAGAACTGTGTAGTCTAGCACATGATCGTGATATCTTTTTATCTCTAAAAGCCAGAGCTATAACACACTTACTCAAGTTGTGGGAATCTTTCCACTGAATCATTCAGCTTTGATATAAGGTATGCGTAGAAGAAAGTTTATCTGCAAAGTAATTTTATTAAAATCATTATGTAGGTGCAGTACAATTCTTACGATTTCTACAATAGCCTCTCTTATTAAAAGTTCACAAGAAGAAAATGAAATCTATACACTGAAGAGATCACAGAGCAATTCATTCAAGAGTGATATTATATTGGGGGAGACAATAACAGGATAATTAAATCAGAAGGGGTAAGTTGGCATTAACTCTGTGATAGAAAAGCTTTCCTAAAGAAGCATCTCCTTTTAGAGAGTTTCTATGGATAAAGACCTAAGTCCAATTTTTTGGTGGAAAGTAATTCCCTTTTTTAAGCTCACAAGATCACAATTTGCTTGAGAAATTTAAAGTCACAGTCTTGGAATATTGTGTTCTAGCATTTTAAAACAATGCAGCAATGGTTGCAAGAGATATTGGCCGGACTCTTCTGCTCACTGCAAAGCTCTTTTCTTCACTGCATACTCTTCTTGCTCTAAATACCTATTTCTTAGAAGGACCATACCCCGGGAAAAGATCTCTTGGGTGCATTATAGGGCATCTTTAAAAGACATTGTTTTTTCTCCTAGTAGCCTAGTAAAGCATTAAGAAAAATGGAAATGATTACTTAAGATAAAAGAGTAGAGGCATTTGCGACCAAGATGGCAGCAGTTAAAATAAGCAAAGTTTGGCTACCCCAGGCACTTCAAGTAATCCAAGGTCTAAGCCAATAATGCCATCACGTCTCTGTCAAAAAGAGACCAAATCTGTTCAGACTTTCTCCCCAGCAATATCATTTACCATATGGTCTTAACACCATGTTTAAATCCCGGTTTTCTTGATGATAATGCTGCCTCAATAAGTGTCCAAGGTCATCTACTTCTATGCAGATATTTTATTTTTAGTCTGAATTCTTGCTACTTGAGTTGGTTTAAACTGTCTGCTCCTGAGAAAAGCATGTATTCTTTTGCACATCGTCTCTCCATCTTCTTGCATATTTTCTTCTTTTTATAGGTTGTATTTTGAGCCCATGCAAAATCACATAGGGCTGGCTGTGTTGTGACAGATTAGGATTCAAACGTCAAAAACTGTGACATGTAACAAATTTCACATTGCAACTCCAAGCAGTGCTTCATTTTCGATGACAAACTGTCTTTAAGAAAACATACTAATTGCATGTCTGAAATTATCTCCGCCTAATGAAACAAAAATTCTCAAATGTTCCACTTGGCATGAAAAGTTCAATTGCTGGCAAGCAAATCCTGGTGCATTCTGCTCATTCCTGGGAAAACTTGTGAGAAGTACCTTTACTTTGCTCTTGTTCTGTCTTGCTTTTTTCAGAATTGTATTGGAGGTGCGTTGCATGCCTGGAGCCTGTCTCCAGTTCAAACTCCTCCTTTTGTTAAGCAAGAGCCAAACTGGTTGAGCTCAATGGTTCTAACCAGGAAATGTGTTGTTCACTCCACTGCCTTTGTGGCAGGCTCACACCAGGAAATGAGGTTATTTCCAAGATGCCTTCTTATGGGTTCCAGTCTAACCCTAAATACATTTTATGCCCTTTCTAAATTAATGATTAGCATCAGCAATGTTTACTGAGGTTGTTGAAGGACGTAACAGCATATTTTTTGAGGTAGCCACACAGTACCTGCTAGTCGACTCTTCTGAGACAGATGCAGTGTGGAGATTTCAGGGTCATGGGCTCAAATCTAGTGACAATGTCCAAGAAATAATCTTGCCAGTGGTGTTCAGCACCTTAGCAAAATGAGGTGATGGATACGCTTTAACTTCCACAAAAATCATCTTTCTATTTCTCAGACTCAAAAAAAGGATAACCAGTGCTTCAGCATACAGAGTAAATTACCCTTTGCACTTCTACCAGCGATTCACTAGAATAATTAGTTAATTAGGGCACAGACATTTAAAACAGGCTATGTCTGCTCTCACTGATGTTAAAAATAACTTTTGATTAAGGAAATCCACGATGGGCCTTCCTGGATGTGAGTGAGCACACAGCTAAACTTTGAACTCAGATTTCAGTTTCTGAGTGACATAAAAATAATGTTTATAAAGATAGAACAAAAAGATTTGGATAATGTTTATGGTCCCATTTTTCACAGTGATATCTTTAGAAAGAAGGTCTTTTGAGCCACTCTCCCTGTATGCAAATAACATTTTGGATTTCTCTTTGATTCCAGTTGCCTGTCATATTAGTTATCATTTACTATGTCAATTCGCTGATACATTGCTGAACAGCTTAATGCCTGGTCCTAGAGAATTCCAGCAGAATTCTATTTATGACGAAAATTAATTCCCCATTACTGAGATATTAAGACTTAAAAGTATTTTATTTATTTAAAATCTTAAAACAAGTGACTTGAAGATGGCAGAGGTGCGCAAAGAAACAGTAGTGGAACAAGATGTCTGTTTGGTGAATAGGAAGGAATCAGCAAACAAATTATGTTGATAGAATCAATAAAGTTTAAAAAATACATGTTAGACTTAATCCTCATTATCACAGAAAATTATTGCAAATACATTGAAAACGGGGAAGCAAAACCTACACAAAACTTACTGAGCTGTGACATTGCAGACAGCTTCTGGGGAGCAGCTAGAGGACTCATCAAGAAGCCAGACCAACTTATGCACAACTCAGCAGACATAGATTAAAAATTACTTCCTAAAAATATGGGTAAACTTAAGTTGTGGGGATAAATTACTCAAAAGCCAATAAAGATTACCTTCTCACTCCCCCTGTAGAAATCATCTAAAGTAAATCAGTCTCCAGTACTGAGAACAAAAGCGCAATGCTAAAATGTCAGAATATCAAACCAAGTCATCAGCAGCAATTCAGTGTGATTTTCCAGGCCAGTCAAGTGCATGGAAATATTCAGAGTGTGACCAGGTCAGAGGAAGCCCACTGACGTTTTGTATGAACTTACTTCAACACAAACCTTGGAACTTCACTGAGTTGCGTCTCTTACTGAGCACCTGACATGCAGTGAAAATATCTTTTGGAAAAATGTTTTATTGTGATTTAAAGACTTCAAGTGACAGAGTGGCTTTTAATAAGCCTTTCACAGAGGTAACCATGTCATAATCACAGATTTACATTATCCACTCAGAATTCAGAGGGCAGCACAAGTCATTCGCATCCAAGTTGTGTGTGTCGCTTGTTGAGAACACTGAAAGCCCCTCTTTCTGAAAGACCTAAGGCATGCACCTGAAGCCATTTAATAAAGAAAACTGTATCTGTACACATGGGATTTTTGCCAGAGGACTCTGGGGTTGGATTTGGTTTGTTCTTTGATTTCTTTTTTTCAAATTTCAAAGCCTTTCAACAACAAATCTCCTACTTCTCATTCATGTAAAGCTTACTTTGACAAAAGACTCCTGGAATTGGCCCTTAATTTGACTTTTTAAAAAAGCCTTCAAAAGTACTGTATCTTAGACTTTTCAAACTACTGTACCATGAAAAATGAATTCATTATTTCTCAGGCTTTACCTTTTGCACATTGAGGAAGAGCAGAGCAATTTAGATTGCCTGATGTCTAAAAGATACAACAAATCCACCTTTTGTGTCAGAGCTAAGAAAACAGGAAAGGCTGAGAGTAGGAATGTTTACAAAGGGTTTTATGAATTCAACAAAGATGGCAAATACTGTAAATCAGTCTTTTAGTTTTATATAAGCTTTCTTGCAGAAACTTGGAAACAATTCTTTGTCTGTTTTATAACACTCCTGCCAAAATCTCATTAAGAACCTGAATCCATCCAATTCCTATATGCTTTGAGAGAGGAAATGTGAACCTCTTTAAGGCTACAGTTTTTCCAGTGGCAAAGCCTCACTGTTTCCCTTCCCGTCTCTCTTTCTTGCAGTTACTCAGAGCCCAGAGGCTGTCCCCGTGACAGCTCTGCAGGCTGAGCATCTCTCCTCTAAGATCCTTTGGAGAGCAGACACACACCATACCTTGCTTTGCTGAGAAGCAGCCAAACTCTTCTACATTGTAGGTCTGTGAAGACATTCAAACATAATTAGAAATCTTTGTCTGCTGATTCCCTCTGATTGCATGACATAATGGTCACAGATCTTGAGCATCAAAATAATGTGGGATTTGGGCTAGTTTTGAGATTTCTCTGTATTTTCTTTGACGTAAGAGACATTTATGTAATTCAGGTAGCAATGGCAGTTATAAGAGAAAGTCTACTTTTTTCCTAAATCCTTTTGGCTGAGATTGTAAAATCATCGTATTTGAATGGCAGTGGAAAAATTGGACCTTATTTTAAAGTTTACTATTTTACTCTTTCAAGCTTTGAAAATAAACTTGAAAAGCTGGGAATCCTTATTTTCCAATGTCATTGGAAGTATTTCCAAAACTTTCAATGCTAGAAGGTTTTTTTCATTAACAGGTAATTTTTTAAGACTTTGAACAAGTTTTGATGCTATACATTTGTGCATTTGTGGGGTTTTTTTATCTTGTTTGATTGACCTAGATATAAGGTGCATCATACTACAGACCTCTGAGCAATATGAATTTCAATTTCTGGAAAGTAAATAAATGAGAGCTTGGAGGAAAGAGGAGATGGCTTCACTGTCCTTCGCTGACTTTCACAAACAATCTTTGATACTAAAACACTTGGAACTAAATAAAAAACACCTTTGAATTGGCTTTCTCTTTGTGAAATTTAAATGAACACAGACCAACAGATAAATTAATTGCGCTATCTCATCTTCAAGCTGGAAAAGAGCATGGTGGTATTGGTTTTGGTTTTGATTTAGATAAAAAGAAATACAGTTTTGCTTTTTATTTTATTAGTGGAATGGGGCTAGCAGAGTGAGAGCCTGGCTCATAACTAGGAGGATTCCTAGGAACTCTGATTATAAAAATGTAATATGATTATGTGCATCAGAAAAATAACCTGAAAAATAAATTATTGAAGAAAGGTGGAAGCCTATATAAGCAAGTCATTCAATATGAGGCCACAGGAAGCACTGTATAATAGAAAATAAGAGAGCAGGCTCCTTCATTAAAAGAGTGGAGGAGGTAGAATGCCTTGAATGATCCATATCTGTTACACTGTTGGTGTTTACAGATGCAAAAAAAAAAGTTAAAGAGCATCATCCCCAGGATCCTTTGATATTCAGTGTTGCTATTTTTACTCTTTATTATTTTTATTGCTATTGCCATGTTTAGCACCTATGATCTGTTAGATACTGTCCAGACAGTAGAGAAAATGGATGAGGAAAGAACCACAACGCAGGCTTTTATGCCCAAGCCAACTGGATTCAATGTAAGTAGCATTGTAAAGGGAGGACTGGGGATGAGAACCTCCTGGGTCAGGCCTGGGAGAACTATTAGGCTGCTGAAGGAGAACCTGAACAGTTGAGATTGGATGAAGAGAAGTAAAAGGGGTGGGTAAGGCAAAAAAAGATTCATTTTTACAATACTATCCTAAACCAGATAATTCCCAGAGTGTTTTTCTGTTGTACTGCAGATAGTTTGTCACTGGACCCTGAAGTTTCAAAGGCAAATGCCTATGGTTTCACTGGCTGCCTGTCCTCTGTTCAGTACAACCACATTGCTCCCCTGAAAGCTGCCTTACGCCATCCCAGCGTTGCTCCCGTAACTGTCAAAGGCTCCTTGACTGAATCCAGCTGTGCATCCATAATGGAAGGTGATGTGAACACAGTAACCACGATATATTCCTCATCAGGTATGTCCTGCCAAGAGGGAGATGGGGAATGTAAAGGACGCTGTAGAATGAAGTTTCCTTCCTTTTTGCTGTAATGTAATTGTGATTCTGTAAATATTGGAACTGGGAAGTTGCCTTTTCTCTCATAATTAGGAGTGTTGAGGATGGGCATTAGGATTAGCCAAGTAATTTGAAAGTCTTTGTACTAAACCAAAGTTTTCAGACTAAGTTCCTGGATTGCCTAAAACAAAAAAGTCCAAAAGCCATAGTGGAAACAGCATTGGAAGTATGGTTATGCACCTGATTTGCCATTCCTGTCCGCTCTAGATAGCTCCAGTGTTGCATATCTCAAAGGAGAACATAAATGTTACATAAATTCCATATCCAAGTGGTGATGAAACAATAGGAGTCATACAACAAAGTCAAATTTGTTCCCACCCTAGCAGTAATGAACAAAAACTCCTTGTACAAACCCCTCGACACACGTGCATGACTTCCATTGAATGCTGTACGTCATTCTCTCAGGCTAAAGAGAAGGAGCACTACTTGAGCAGAACCAGTGAGATGATCCCAATAGTTCATTTATCTTCTGGAATCCTGAAACTGTCCTCTGGAAATCTCAAGTATTTTGCATATGTGAATTTGTATGCAGAGAAGGAAACTCAGAGCAGCTGGAAGTGTTGTCATCAGGAACAGGGGCAATCAAGTTGCTGCTTTAGTCACCAGTGGATGTGGCAGAATTCTTAATGACCAGAAAAGGGTACAAATTATGGGCTATTTTTTGTCCCTTGACCTATGAAGCCACTTTCTCTTTTCTAATAACTAATAAAATTCTGGTTTAGATCATAATATGATTTCTTTGACATTTGTACTTGCATCAAATCCCCATTTCCTGCAGCTTCTGCCTAAGATATTCAGCAGAAAACAAATGATGCTGTTAACGTTCTGCATAGGGAAAAAGGCTGCTGATTACTCTGTGGAGAGTGGCTGCCTGTGTGTTTCTGCTTCTCCCCACCTCCCAACGTTCTCCTCACTGGCCAGAGTTGTCTAAGGTATCTGCTCTGACGTGCAGAAGAAACACGTCTCATAAATACTGAATGGGCAATGATACTGAAAATATGAACTCCTTGCCCTGTGATCTGTCACCTTGATGATCTAATTTTTCTAAAGAGTTTAGAAATCAGTAAAACCTGAGGCTTAGAATTGCAGGACAGAACACAGAGCAGAGTATAACAGCTTTGGACTTCAATATTTAAAGCTTACAATCAGTTGCACTCTATTGTCAAGGTTAAGCACTGTTACATCAGAAATGCAGAATTATTATAAAAGCTCATCCCTTTCTTCGCCACTCTCTGCTTTAAAATATGATTTCCTCTCAATATGATGAATTAACTGACACTACTGCCTTACTGTTCACACTGGATTTGATTAAAGCCTGAATAAGATCTTTAGAACAAGTTAGTTCTGAAGACTTCATATCTTTATATGCTATAGTAAGAGCACTGGGCGGTAGATTCTTGTTTAAAAAAAAATTCCAATTTGTAGCAAATTATACTTTGTATAGATGTACTTCAGAATTACGTTTATACATGGAAAGGACACATTTTAAGAAATAAAAAGAAGACAGAGTTAAGGATTAACTTTCAAATTTACTGCTCATATCTCAATTCATCAGTTCCCAATTTCTCATTATTGAGTGTCTGAGAAGAAAAATAGAACTTCAAAGTTGACTGTACATGTCTGTGTCGATTTTCTAATGTACAGATACAACAAAAAAGCCCTCTAGGAAATCTCTCTTTAAATGTGTGAAAAAAGCTTTCTATATTTATAACTTGAAAACAATTGAAGCTCTTTCCTTCAGAGATGAATACTTGTTGACTTCAAGAAAGTTTCCTAGCAGACAGATATGGAATAAAATCCATTCACTCACAGCTTAGTTATCCATACATTCTTTCTGATTAGGAAACACAAAATGAAAGGTGACTTATGGTGTTTTTGATATTTAACAAAGATCTGCAAATCACCTTCTTCCTTGCTGAGGCACGCATAGAGGTTTTGGGATTCTGAACTCTATGCTGATGGCACAGAGATAATGGACTTTTACTATTCTTTTATATATATATATATCAAAATACTGTAAATGCCAGAGCAGATTCAGCTGTGTGAATGGTGGAGTCTTGAGCTGTCTGTCTACTCCAGCTGAACAGCAGGTCTTTATGCATGTAAAGTAAAAAAAATACCAAAGACTTTCAAAAGTCAGAAACTACACAGAAAAACTACACAGCTCAAACAGTGCCAGTCCCTGTCTCACTGTGCTAGTCGTGCTAGGCTTGATATTTCCAAACAAGGAGGAACTGGCCAGGGTTGTGCCTGGACAGCCTTGGCCGTAGCAACTATAAGATGGTGGTATTCGGGATCCTGAGAGGAAGGAAAAAAGGCAGAAACACGATTGCAACCCCAGACTTCATGCACCTGCTTGGAAGAATCCCACAGGATACAGCCCTGGTGAGAAGAGGAAAACTGGTTCAAGGATCACGAGTTCAAGATCAAGAATGCTGGACTTCCTTTTCATTAGGACGGACCAAAGGTGGCAGGAGGCCCAGAGAGGTTGTGAAGTCTTCATCCTAGGATATATTCAAAACCCAAATGGATACAGCTGAGAAACTTGCTGTAATAGACCCTGATTTGAGTAGATTTGGACTAGATGATTTCCAGAGGGGCCTTCTGACCCCAGTGATGCTTCCAACCTCAGTGATTGACACTGAAATGGCATTAGTTTTATCTAAAAGGAGGAGGATATCCTGTTAAGGTCTAATGTGAGACACAGTATTGCTTTTCCTTGGCTTCAGAGTTGATTGTGTTCCCACTGGAGATGGTTCTGCTGTCACATGCCATCTGCTCTGCTGTAACAAACCCTCCTCTCCTTGTATCATGATTTTATTTCTCAGGCAAAACATAATTCTTAAGGCCAGTGTCTGTTGGCCTCCATTCTAAAACTGATCTCCAACATTTGTTCTGGTTTCCTTTCAGTGCTTAAAATCTGATAACAGTTGCCAAAAAATTGTGGAGCCCTAAAAGCATTTAGTGTCAGATCTTACATAATCTTTTAGGCATGAATGACATCTTGTATCATTTTTAAGGGAGAAGTTTAATTTCATGCTTTTTTCATACATAGTTAATAGTCTTTCATGACTCTATTTGACTAACACCATACACCAGATACCAGCTGGAGATTTTTCTCCAGTACAAGAGAACTGATGTTCAACAGATGTTAATTTTTATTGTAACTGATTTCACTGGCACTGGCTGAGGGCTGGGGTAGAAAATATCTCACCAAACTTCCAGTATCTGAAAGTTAAATCATCTTGAGTCTAAAATAATGATTACTCCCCTCCTCTAGTTTGTGGAAAGAAATTGGTGAATCACACTTAGGGTATAAAGTATCGATAGGTCCTCTTCCTCTGTTTGACTAAATAAAAAAAGCCTAAATTACTAGTTTTGATTTCTATAACTGACTCTGAGATACTGAAAAATAAAGAGGTGAACCTACCCATGATGTACAAAATAATGAGCAACCTTGATCTAACTTTGAATTTGGCTCTGCTTTGAGCTTAGGCTCAAAGGCTTAACATCAGGCTAAATAACCACCAGATTCCCCTTCCAACCAAACGTTTTCTATGATGCTATCTGTATTTATGTGTAAATTTTATGCCCATTGCAGTCCCACAAATGTAGTAAATGAGACGAAGCATTGCCATGACTATTTGTTTCTTTGCAACATCACTATAGGCACCCAATATCCAAGCAAGGGGCCTCTTGTAAATAGATCTCAGCCTCAGTGTCCAAATCTGTCATTGGCAATTACCATTCGCATTGATAATGGGTGTACTGAAGGTGTTCAGCTGGCCCCAGAAGTCCTTTTGTGCTCGTAGCTCAGTCAATGAACTACAGATATGGGGAACCCTGACTTCTTAGTATGGGTGTGTTCGAGAAATCCTTCCATCTCTAAAACTAAGAGTAGAGTTACACCTTTTAAAACATGAAAGCGTCTTTGAGGCTGATGCCTTCTGCACATCTTTGCAGCTGTTATCAGTGATGCAGAGAATAAGGAAAAAGTGCCCCCTTTAAGAACCTGAATAGCCCAAAGCCACCATCATTACAAACTCAGCACCTCCTCATATACAAATATGAAATTGTTGCTTGTTTCAATTAAAAAACATCTTCTTGAGCAATGAGATACCAAAATGTGGCTGAGTCAGCTACTAAGACAAGAATGTGCAATTACAATAGACTTTGCAATAGACCTTCTCAGTTACTCTTCCACCTCTTGCATCAGAAGGATCAATTTGGCAAAGCAGTATAATATATAGCAGAGACAGTCATCCGTAACTCCCATGTACGTCCTCTGTATGATAGCCTGGAGCCTTGTAAAGAAGAGAAACACAGATAGGAATCTCCTAAAAGGAGAGGGTGAGGTGAAAGGAAAAAAATGTGAGGGTGCTGAAAAGCTGGATTCAGCTGGCAGTAGAAAACACAGCATTTTCTGAAACGTGCTGGACTAAAGCAGGTACGCTGCCGTAACTCCACTGCCTTCAGGGAGGGTTTGACCTCCCAGGTTTGGATCTGAATTTGAAACTGCCAGCATGTAGAGTGTTTGGCCCAGTGTTTCAACAGTAGTTGTTTATAGATAGGATACAAGAGAGCTCCAACGTTGAGAAGCCTTTAATATAGGAATTCATTTCTGACCCCTCTCTGGTTTGAATCCAATTTGACCACTGCATTTCTGCAATGGAGAAAAAAACATCCCTTCCAAGAAGCT